ACCGACCAAGAAAGCAACGAGCTTCTAGCGAATTGATGAATCGGCTGGTTAACATAGTCGCAAGTTGGCGTCCAGTTAGCTGCCATAGTGGCTTGAATATCTGTTTCATGCACAGAACAAACTGTTGAATATAAGTAGCAGAAAGTTCAGACGACATAGGAAAGAGACGGTTATATCTTTAGATATAACAAGTAGAGATTAAGCTTCCAGCTAGATAGACACGCGGAAGTTAAACTTAAATGTTGGGCTTTGGAATAACCGACCATGGCTGCATTATGAAATTCAATATCTATTAAGATATCCGTTTACTCAGAAGTGTACTCCACTCCTTCCAATCAATAGCACCGTAGCCGAAGTCATAGGATTATTGCATCAATCTTTCTTAACGCCTTACTCCATGACAGTTTTTAATCTTGTTTGAAGTCATCTGGTAGAGATGGATGCAGATGGGCGTGGAACTCGTGACATAGTGTGGTGCAGATGGCCTTTTGATCACCAGACACGGGGAATTGTGGACAAAACTGATGAGCTGTCGTTTGCTCAACATGGTGTGATCAAAATCTTCTTTTGCAGCTCTTTCATAATACTTCGTTCTACTTGCGAACAATGGATATAGGTACTTGATTTGTGTTGTTTTTAAACTAATGCGATGTCCGTGGTTATTCACAGCACTGTCTTTCTTTTCTCAGTTATGTTGCAGGTCAATTCTTATTTTTACAACTGCTGGCTACACGTTCACAGTGTGGACCATTAGGCATGTAATAGAATAGATTCACTGTTAGAACTGTTTCAAAGCAGACTAAGCACAAGTGGAGTTGATCTACACATATGCTTCGGCAAACCGATCTAACCGTTGGGAAATTTAAAGCATATACTATTGATAATACACCATAAAATTGAGCGGTTTGAAAGCGAAATCTGGCAGCTTTATGATCTTTGTCAACATGTCTGTTTACAAGGTTGAGCTCTGCTTCTGGGATCTAATGTTAACACTATATACATGAAGCTGGCTAACGTAGAGGGTCTTGTTATCTCACTCTGGTAATCAATTCTGATAGCAGACGGGTGGTAAATTGGACCCGACATTCGAGCAGCTTACTTTCATTTAAGTGACTTTAGCACCAAAATCTTGTGTTTATATAACAAAGCTGATGCGGGTTGGAAGATATCAGTAAAATATACTCAGCATTGGTGGTAAAGGTTTAGTAGCTTTTGACGTGGCCTTGAGGAACGATAACAATTGATGCAGTTTCATTCTTGTTTGATCCAAAAGCACAGACGTGAGAGAAAAATTCGTTCTATTGCTTAGCCTGCAATCTTTTTGAGAGTGGCTGTATACGAAATAGACCAAAGCAGGATCCAGTATATAAGACAGGTGCAACTATTTGTTGACGGCATGCACATATGTGACAATGACACTATGGAAATGCATGGTAATGTTTAGGAATCTTGCGCTTGCTAGATATAATAGAAATTTGCCCCTTATAATGGAGTTTGTCATGAGTGCGACAGTGATTGCTAGGGTTCATGGCTTTGAACAGCAGTGGTGGTAAACTCTAGCAATTACCATTGTTGTGTCGGGATTTGTTTTACTCTCGAAATTTGGCAAACGTGCATTAGCGAATAATAATGAAGACCGAAGAGGAAGTCGTGATTTATTTGAGACAGGGATTTTTCTACTACTAACAGATCACATGGACCTCGAGATCATCATGTCTGCTTCTGTCGGATGCGTCATCAATAGATATAGCCGGGAAACCACCACTAATTTCTCTAAAACGTAATGCGAACGCAATGCAATTCGAGGGGATGTGTAGGTTCGGGATATCTTACGCATTTGTTTTTGTACGTACCACGTGGCATGTGGTAGAGTAGAAGCATATGAAACTGTTTGCATAATGAAGTTTAATAGTCAGACGCTACCGGAAGATGGAGGGTCTTTTGTTGTAATATTTCGACGTATTATAACGCACCGTAATATTTAGCATTTATTGACACGGACCTTGATCAATAACATGCTTCATCCAGATTCCCCTTCCTTGCAAGTGCCCTCCAAAATTTGTTAACAGTGTCCATGAGCGGTTGCTTAGTTGTCCGTTCTTTGTACTTGATTTCACCAAGTTGATCGCATTTTTAATAACCAGCCGTTTCCTACCCTGGAGTTGGTCTATGCTTATCGCACAGGATTAGCTCAATGCGATGCGTTCAGCAGTGCCATCTCAGGGTGTATACTATTATGCAATCCTCCAGCAAGAGGCGTTTTAGTGAAACTTGTTTAGAGTTACTCAATATTGGTACCCCTGTATGTCGAATGTTTAAATCAGCGCTTCCATCTTTGGTTGCCCCACTGACTTCTTGCTTAATGTGACCTGGTGTAAACGTAATGTACATAGGTTCGTGTATTGTAACATAGTTGTATAAAATTGGAGCTTCGCCTTTGTGCATGTCTTGGAGTACCTAAGCTAATTAGTGTCGAGATATTTGTGAATACGTGATTCATAAGAAACTTAACATGATCGACATTTTTGTTTCGAAGTTCCGTTTTTGGACACATATCTTCAGATGAGGTTTTTAAGCTTACAAACACAAAAGTTTATCTTTTTTGAACAGATAGAGTTACAGATTTTAAAGTTGACCTCCATTTAAAGCTAAAGTTTTCATTTTTCCCCATAGATAAAATGAAGGAGAAGGACTGTATTTCTAGCAACTGCTATGCAGGATTTTTAACCGATGGAATATAGGTGCATTAAACTCGTTTAATAATAATCAGTGAGTTCCGACAAGTCCAGTGAGTTTTATACACCGCTGAACTTTCAAGACTTTGAAATTAGTAATAACTTCTGATTTGACTCTAGAGTTGAAGAGAGAAAACCGTTGCATAGATTTTTATTATTTGCATTATTTTTGCTCTGGTAAACTTTTGCTGCCCTTTACTTAGTAGGTGTGCTAACCTTAGTGTTTACCCGCATAAAATATTCTTGTTAACAGCTGAACGGACGAAATCATGCAAGATGAAACGCGATAAGGACGAACTGCACCGACTTCATATTGTCGGCTGTTTATGAGCCGGGTTTGATCTAGGGTACTGTTGCTGTTGACGAGGTCGAAAGACTTTGCTAATACGGCACATGCATTGAATCAAACTCAATCAGAAATGTTGGCCATTCTGGAACAAAATGGTAATAAGTGAAAGTTAAGCAGCGCGATAGGTACAGCGTGATGTGTTCATAATGCGCCTTCATATATGTGTGCGGATTATCATCATCAGACAATGCAATCTCACCAGTTAAACAGTGAGAATATTCCTCCAGTCAGCTGGATTCGATGTAACTAATAACCTAAGCCGTTCAGTTTGCGTCTGCTCGGTTGCCTCGAAGATTTCGCACATTTACTGCACCGGGCGATACACTACCCATGTCAAACATACTAGCTCAGGTGGCTGGTAAAGTGCGTTGAAATACCACCGGCTTACCCACAGAACGGTAGCGACAGGGCAGCCCTACTATCAGGAACGTCTATTGAAGATGACCACAAATCTATCGGGTTCGGCTTGGCAGAAATTGGTACATACAGAGTAGGCGAAAGTAAGTCTAAGTAAGCATCTGAATAAAATTGACAGCTGCTACTTTGGATGCTATTGTGTACTCGTATGTTGAAATCCTGAACGCTGAATATTCCATTACAGAAGCAAATCGAATAATATCTTATTCGCAACAGTAATAAAAGTGTTAAAATACTGCATACCACCAGTACATCTTCAATGGTTCTTCGAGTGACATCTGCAAAATCACAATGGGTGGATAACAAATGTGTGATATAATTATGCGACTGTTCTCTGAACCGACTAAAAGCGAGGTGTTAATTCATTAACATTGTAGATTGCCGCGTAAATTTCTCCTTCACGGTATATTTCAGCAATATGTTCCAAATAGTGATCATTCGTTGTTCGATTCACAGAGATCTAACCGCATTATCTAGGAAACCACAATTTCCAATCGTGCCCATGTTTGCTGCAGGACTTTTGTAAGTGGGACAACATATGCACCATCGAAATGTCACCATGATCTACAAGTCCATGGGTGACGAGGTGACCGACGCGCACTCAGCGACGGGGCAAGTTGCCGAATATAAGTCTCCGGCACAGTTCTTCGTACGACAAACCAAGTGAGCTGGAGATAGTTCCGGTTTGGGTGTTTGAACCCTTCGAATCATCTGTGCTTTGTTCCAGGTGATCGGGAAGTAGACCAGAAAAACTTACTCTGACTTATTTGTGATGATGGAAGAGGGGAAACAAGTGGCAATCTCTTCAGAACAAAAGCGGAAGCTGCGTCTGAGGGACTAAAGCATGCACCGTTCGTTTCCATTTGGTAAACTGGTTTTACTTCCATAATTCAGATCTCATTGTTTGCGATTCTACAAGTCCTCCAAGGAAGACAAAAGGTTCACGACAAAAGGGAAAGCTTGGGAACCGTGATATTATCTGTGCAAATAAGAGTACATTGTCGGGTAAGCAAGTAAAAGTTAAAAAGTTTAAGCACGTGCTTTAAACAGCAATCAACCTCGAATGCAGTTGGAAACGTGTTATGAAGATATGGGACATCTCAACTTTATAAATATTTGTCGTTTAGAGCCCGTATCCAAGGGTAGAATGAAGTGCACTAGTGTGCGCCCAGATGGCGAAGCATAAACTGAGGAAATAAGTGAGAGAAAAGGATGTCGCTGACTGATGAAGGCAGTAGTAGGGGCAATAAACTATATTGAAAAAATTAAAGTGCAATAGCTAATATTCGAAGAAAACACATTTACTGTACTGCTTCCTGTTTGACTCTGACTGCTTTCATATTTTACAACTGCCTTTTACGGTAATACACCTGCTTTCCCTTAACGCAAGTCTGGGTTGATTTAGTGTGTAGAGTATTCACTACCGCTCGTTACGTAACCAGAAATTCCTCTGTGTTGGTACGTTGGGAATACAACGTTTACACATGGCATATGCAAACCATGGTGGGATGTAGAACACATAGAATCTGCAAGGGATTGCAATTAAACTTCATTATAAAATTGCCAGAAGTTTTAACTTCACAAGCCACACAGTTGGCACCTCTTCAATTTTAGTGATCGATGTGTGTGCAATGCTGCGAATTTGGCGTTATGCTGCATAAGCAATAAGCCGCCAAGGCGACCATGGCCAGGCCCACTGCTGCGCCATCTGGTTTCGCCATAAAGCGAGGTGTCTACAAGTTCGAATATCATGTGCGGTTGTGTTACAGGTCCCTGGCTTATCAATCAAGGATACTATTATCCCCTTTCTATATACTAGAGGCACGTCCGCACATTTGTTACACTGCATGAGGAAAATGGTGTTTGTAATATATTAGTGCGCTGGTTAGTACATTTCTTTACGATTGCTGCAAACAATGCATAGGCAACAAGTAGTTTCACGTTCGTGAAGCTGACCATGCCAGTCAACATGTACACGAAGAAGAAACGTATGATTGACCACTGGCGCCATGTGTTAAGTGGGGAAGCACATAGGGAAAAACGGAACTATCCAGAGAAATGATTGAACCACGCTTGTACAAACTAATGTGTGGTTGATATTCCTCGACGAATTATGTCATGACCAACGGACAAGATCTGCTCACAAAGAGATGACTTCGACTCAAACGAATATCACATAGTTGTAATTGTAAGCATGCTTTATAACAAGCAACAGAGAAATAAGACGACCTTCGTAGGCCAGTGATCCTCATGTGTTGTTGCAACAAAAAGGGTTAGGGTATTCACAAGCCCCGTGGTTAGTTGTGATAGCAGGAGAGACGTTCACCTACTGCATAATATGTCAGCTTGTTTTACCAATCTATATCAATCACATGATCAAAATCAAGCCTTAAATGAACAATGAACAATGATTTATAACGGGTAAAATTGCAGGTGCTTGACATATCCCTTAGGGTGTTTAGCGTGACAAAAAAGATAGAGCAAGGGATAATGGATTCGTCAGTTTAGGCGATTACAGATGTAACTGCATTGTCGTATAAAAGGAGTTTGAAATGAGGATGTACGAACACAAAGCGATAAGGCGAGTGGTTATTGATCAATAATGGGCGAGAAAAAATAAAAAATAGCAAGGACAACCCTTACTCGTGTGCAACTGTCTTGGGTCGACAGGATAAAGAAATCCATTTTCCATAGTAGTAGCGTTTATCAAACTTCGTGCAAGGGGTTTGGAGTGACTCATTCTCGAGTAGGCTTATGGTACTATCCACTGTCTGTTGTGCATTAGTGCCAGCATCTGATGGTCATGGGGTATAGCACGTAGTGTAAATGTGACAGAGTACCATCAAGGCGCTTTTTGAAAAGGGATAGGATGGGATAATTAATTACCTGTTCCGGGAGGGCGTTCCAAGGCTGTGACACTCGAAGGGAAAAATAGTTTCGCCGACATTCCAAGAGGATGTACTGCGAGACCAGCTTGAACGAGTGACCTCTTAGCGGGGTGTTTTGACTGAGTATTAGAAGAGAACGGCATGGGTCTTTGGGGTTTCTCAGGATCAGGTACATCATTATGAGATCGCCCCTTAGACACCGATAACATGCAGTGTATGTTTTGAGAGTCTTCAGCCTGAGTGGGTAGGGGAGGCTGGTAAAACCTCTGACGCTCTTCGTTTCGCTACGTTGTGCAGTATCAAGCGCAGTGAGATGGTGCTAGAGCCAGGGCCGCCACGCCTGAATAGCCTATTCCGCGTGAGACCTAACGTACGCAATAAGCATTTTTGGAAAGACTGAATGGTCAAACTTCCCGAAAGCTCTGCGAAGAAGGCCAAGGTACTAGTTTGCTTTCTTAGATGACTTTTCAGTCTGCTTCAAACGACCAAAGTCATCTTGAACTATCATGCCGAGACCACATTCGTGAGAATCCCGCTGTAGAATTTGTGGTCCTACGCGGCAGTTGTGCATACTATTTTGCCGTATGCTGAGTACCTTGCACTTGGTGACGTTGACATGCAGTATGTTCTCGATGGACCATTTGTACGCTTTGTCCAGATCCTCCTGTAACACTCTGTGATCTTTCACTGCAGCTATAGTACGCCATACCTTTAGATCATCAGCAAATAGCAAACAGTTAGAAGATAGCACACACGCGAGATCATTTATGAAAACCAGGAACAGGCGGGGTGCAAGTACCGAGCCTTGAGGCAAGCCGCACTGAAGTTCGATGGATTCCGACAGGTTGCTTCGAACCCTCACATTCAGGGATGGTTGCACGAGAAAGTTTCCTATCCAGCCGAGAACAGAATCGCCGACTCCGTATTTCTGGAGTTTGTGGAGGAGATTGCGATGTTCTAGACGGTCGATTGCCTTTGAGAAATCCAAGTAGGCCGCGTTGACTCCTATACCAGCGTCCACAGATTCCGTCCAGTTTGCACGAACGATCAACAGACTAGTGGTACAGGAACGAGTTTGGCAAAATCCATGCTGTTTCGGAACGAGAATTTTGTTGTTCTCTAGGTACCCAATCAAAGCCTCAGCTACGATGGACCCCATAACCTTGGAGGTCACCGAAAGTGGTGTTATCGGGCGCTAATTTGTTACTTCAGCAAGGCTGTCACTTTTGTAGATTGGCGTGATGATTCCGTGCTTCCACATCGTGGGGACGTGCATCTCCTTCATACATCGTTGAATGATAATTAGTAGTGGTCCTGCCAAACTCATGGCAGCAACTTTCAAAGCCTTCGGTCGAATGCCGTCCGCACCCGGGGAGCTGAACTCGCGCAAGGACATCAGACTCTTCAGTACAGCTGCGGAGGTGAACGATATGTGACAAGCACTGATGGCGGTGTTATCTGCTTAGGCAGGATGTGTGGTGATTGCCCGCTTTGGAAGGTACGACCAAATGGTTGTCCAAGAACGTTGGCCGCATCTTGTGCGCTTTGGGCTAACCCGCATGCAGTGAGCAGCGCAGGATTACCGCGCTTTACACTCGGCGCAAGTTGTTTGCATGTCTGTATAGCAGTTTGGGATTGGAGCAAAACTTTCCACTAGACCTATTTGGTTCTTCAGTTTATCCTCCCGGACGAGCTTGACACAGTGGTTTCTTTGTATTGTGTAGACATCCCAGGTATCTTCTATCGGGGAGGCTATGTAGGTGTGCCATGCTAAGTCCATAAGTAGTGTTTCACCAAGTGTATTTATTGCGTCATTTTAGAGAGGAATCAAATGTCCTACGAATACAGCCTATCTAAATGAAAACATGTTGACAAAATGTTCATAGACAGAGACAGAAGTTTTGTGCCAGATCCGGTTCGACGATTCACAGAATTAGAGTATTTCATGCATGCGTCTCATAGTGGTACGCTTACTACGATGAAACTAGGATGGTTTTAATTCGTCCTAATCAACTACTTGTACTGAGCGCTTCCCCTATACTTGTCTACATTGTTGATGAATTATTGCGCAAACCCCGATATCCGTGGACAATAATAATGACTAGTTAGTCATTATTGCTAGCGGAAGAATTCGGATCTATCGGTAATAAACTACGACTGCCATCAGATGCTTTTTGTTGTTCTAAACAACTGCATTGAGGCAGGAGACATTGGGTTCCCTGAACACATGGGCACACGAAGGGGAAGGTGAAAGCAAGAATGGACACAAGAAGTGAGACCAGACGAGGTAAAGCTGGCATTACGAAAGGGGCAGGGAGCAGTTATTGGGCGGCAACCGGAAGTAAGTCTGAACTGAGAAGAACAAATAATGTATTTAACCAATTTTCAAAAAAAGAGACAAATACACCGTTATAAGAGTCGCCGAGACTGACACTAAGCAGAGTGATGAGGGTGGGAGGAATCCTGGCCCTCATTGGAGTGGGACGTACATACGCAAAGATACCGGGTGAAATACGTAGGAACTGTTGAGTAGCTATCTGCGCAGGCCTATAGGAGTGTCTCTAGTGGACTGCGGAAGTTGCTGTGCATCGCGTTTAGGAAAACTGTTTCATAAGTGTTCGAATTTGTGAAATCTCTGGTAAACTTAGTCATGTCAGAAAAGATGCAGATTCATTCCTGCGTTGTTTTGCTGCGTAATGTCTGCATAAATAACTAGTGTGTAGATGGAGCTAAAGTAAGTGAATACTTGGCTGAATTTCTCAATCACAGTTAACAAGCAATTTTTGCTTCATGAAAGCCAACTTGTTAAGCCTAGAACACAATAAATGTCATGAACAAAATGTAATCTGTTGTGAAATTCTTTCTATAATGGCAAACAAGGTTTCTAGCCTACAAATTACTATTAATTCCATTAGATTCGCGACATCAACATATTTATAGCCAGTTAATAAAGCACTGCGAACACAGGTCACGATAACGGAAACACAGCTAATAAACCCAAAATGCTATCGTTGCAAAAGTCCCTTCTACATTAATCAGTGTGCAGAATATTTGATATCACAAATGTATTGCTGATGTTTTACTAGAATCTTAGAAATTTCCAAACTGAATCATGTTTGTTATAATTACATTCCAGTGAGAAAAGCATGTACGCCTTGCACATTCTAGTAAATAGTTCACGCACCATTGGGGAATGCGCATCAACTTAGCTTGTGTATCTGCATGTCATATATTAGAACAAATAACCCCCTATGTTCGTCTGCTGTTTATCGTTGCACTTGTCCTGTGGCTGATTACTATGGGCAAAAACAAACCTGGTCAGTGTCGATAATTTCCAGAAATAAATTGCTATCAATTTCCCCCCTTTAGACTTATAATAACTTCATAATCTACTGATCGCTAATGTGCTACTGCTTGGAATTTTCCCAAAATAAAGAATGTGATTTTGGTCAGTTTTTGCAATGCACAGCTGATCTCGCGTCAACGGATATGTTGCACCGAGCAAATGTATAATTACGTCTTCATACATTATTTAATGTATAGTCACATTCTCAATAGATAATGCGGTACAACTAAGTAGCAGAAAGCCAGAGATGTATTAAAGAAGTCACTCTGAATATCTCTTATTTGCTCTCTGGTAATTATATGTGCCACCATTATTTAGA